ATAAGGGTCTGATATTTCCTTTAATTATTTTCATAACAGAATTTTTGGTTGTCTTTGTGTTGATTAGGTGGCAAGATCTTTAGCCAGCACAAACAAGAGTAACTCCATTGAGTCTTACCAGCCATAACATTTCTTTTTCTTTCCCCATTGTTCTTACTGGATCTGTCAGCACCCATCTTAGCAAGAAGATCAATGTATATATAGTTCTAGACAGTACTGCCGAAGAAGATCTCACCAGCCCTGTCTGAACAGTTTATGTAGAGCTCACTGCAGCAATCCCTTCTTACAGCGAGAGCACCGTCGGTTTTATACCTGCATATATTAACCAATGGAGACAAATAAATTGTTTGCATATATTATCTAAAGTAATGTGATTGGTTTTATACACATTTAGATAGATGTAACTAGTTAATAAATCTGACTTAAGTTTAAAATACAGAGTACTAAGTATAAGTTAAAAGTAGTATCTTTCTTGCACTGGTAAAGAAAAATGCTGCTTCCATTATTCATGCAGGAAAATCACTCAGCACTCAGGAAGGTTCAGAGAAGTTAGTATGGCAATATTTACAACAGTATTGCCCTTAATCTTGGGGAAAACATTCTTGATTCTGTTTGAGGCTTTTGCTGGCTTCACATGGCTTCAGTTTGTCTCGGGGAAGACATCTGCCTTGACATGTTCTTTACCATCTCCTGGTGTGAAGCTTCAGAACATTCACACTCTGAAAGAAACCTCAGGAAACCCTTTAACGGCTTTTCAGCCACTTTGAAGAACATGGGAGACATGAAAGAGCTGGAAAATCAGAGGGAATCTGGCCTTACAACTTGTATTGGAGACACCAGCTATATCCAGCTCATACCAGTCTGTAGCATAACATTGAAGCTGTCACCTTCATGTGGCTGCCCCATCCCTGGAGGTGTTCAAGGCCAGGTTGGACGGGGCTTGGAGCGGGGTGGAACTGGATGATCTTTAAGGTCCCTTCCAACCTAAACCATTCTATGATTCTATGTCACACACCAGTGTCAGCCGTGCAGATTGATGACAATCCCAGTCTTGCTCTCGTGGCGTTTCTCAGCATGGGAACCTGTGACTGTGTCCTCCTGGTACAGCTGAGTCCCTTCGGGAGGGTAGTTAGAGCCTCGGAGAGGTGCTCGGATTCCCCTGCTGCCCCACGTTTAAAATCCATCCAGCTGTCAGGTTCGTCTCTGTTGGAAGGAAAAAAAGGATCCTGCTGCCAAGTGTATGCATAAGGAAACCTCTGTCAGATAACCTCTCTCATGTACAAAACTACTTACTGAGTAGTATTTTCCCTTTACTAGCATAACCGTCACGTTAAGAGGATTCCTCTCGCTGAGAGGAATCGCGAGGAATCTAGTGAAACGCCGCACTGACTAACAGCTTCAAAGGACTTCAGGTAAAGTGACGGTGAAAACCTCCGCTGGGAATGGGAGCAAAATATACCTTCTGAAAAATGGAAATTCTCACTCTGCGCAAGATGTTTCAGGTGTTTGATTACCCGTCCTTTCGGCGTACTAGCTGAATATTCAGCTGGCATCAAATTAGCTCTCAGTTGTGAGTTTGATTGTGTTTGTGCATTCAGAGTGCAGACTGCGTGTGTGAGTGCAAGTCCAAGAGCTCTGCAGGAATGTGTGGGTTGATATACCCAACGCGGGTCCGAGACTCCACGGAGGAAGTAGTTGTGGCAAAACTCATTAATAGGATGTCTCCATTGCAAAACTTCATAAGCAAAAGCATAAAACAATTCTTAAAAAAATCTTATACATATCAACTCTATGATTTGTTTAATACCCGCAATATCAGATAAAGCAGAGAGATCGAGGAAACACATGCTAATAATATACACAGTGATACATAAAAATGCAGTAATCATATTTTCAGCTGTTATCTAATTACAGAGAATGTAGCACTGCAGAAAAAAAATAGCAATTCAGTCCTCAGAGTTATCACACCAAATTTTCACCTTGTTTAAGGGCAGATGCACACTGATTCCAAAAGGAAACAGATGTTTTCAAACCATCACAGCTCGTTTAGAGGGATAATTTCCTGTAAATAGTAAGGTTATTAACATTATTAGTTGAATATCACTATCTTTCAAGCATGAAAAATTCATCGAAGTAGAAGTTCTACTACTGAAGTCCCACTTAGGATTAATTTCCTTCAATGGCTGAGTTTTTAAGGAGATTTTCAACAATATATTGTATTTTGTTGGCTATTTACAAACCAGTTGAATTTCTACAATGTTCCAAATCACCGTCAGCTCTACATTTTAAAGGGCTAATACTGACTCAAAAATTGTCATTGATTTCACAGTTCACAAGTTTTAAGACCCTGAAGAAGCCAACAAACTCTTCCACGAGGAACTGACCTTCATTTGGTGACCTATCATTATCAATGGCAAATAAGAGTAATAACAATCAATACTGAGATACAGATTAATGAACTCCAGTCCAAATTTCCAGGTAAACACCCATTTTTTGCCCCTTTTTCATTCATTCTATTTCATGTAAATTGAGTATTGTAGGTTTTTACAGGGGTTAAATATATATTGTCTAAGTATGTATCATACAGGTAGGCATGTTTCTTTCAGAGCGTTTTCCAAACAATGGACTTTGTACATATAACTTTTTTGGTATTTAGTTGAACAAACTAGAATGGAGGCCAATTCATTTTGTCTTTGCCTGAATTTCTGAAAATTTTCTTGTTTTAAATTTTCTGTTGTTCTGCTAAAGTATCTTACCACCCATTCCATGTCAGGGAAGGCAAATCTAAGGCACACAAGGTGTGAGCCTGCTAAACCACTGCTAGATTCATTTCCAAGGGCAGGTAAAATGTCATTCCACTGTTCTTTTGAAAATCATGCCCCCAGCACCTCTAACATAAGGAAATGAAAAATGGAAGAGAATATTAAGCTAAATGGCCTTTTGGAAAGATGGAGTGAAAGCTATACAAATGATGTATTGGGGGAGGTCAGCTAAATGCTGTGTTTTCGGTGATTTCTTTATGTTTTCTTCTTTCCGCAGATAAGTAGGGATTGAAATAAAAAGAGGCCCGAATAGCAATGTTTTCACTGACGTGATCATTAGGGTCTGACACTCAAATGGAAGAAGACTAGCCATTTTATAAAATGCAAAATGGAATAATTCCCTTTTAATGTCCTATTTATTAGGAGCTGAAGAAGGCTTAGTTAGAGAAAAGAAGCCTTGTTTCCCCTGAGTGCATGGATCACATCTAATTGTATTCAGCCCAGACCGGCCACGACAGCGAGAGGAGCGAGAATCAATATTGCAACGGAGACGCCTTCCCCAATACATTTCAGAGATGTTTACTGTTCATGAGAAAAAGGTACTTTCTGCATAAGTAGTCTAGAGACACAACAGGATTTTAACCCTGGCAGCCAGGAACACAAGTTTAGAAAGTTGATGGAAATTCATAGGTTTCCATGTCGGAAACACTCCAAGTGCGCTGCAGGTGACTTACTTCATATCAAGTGCTTCACACCTCATGCTAGGACCCACTGGAGTAACTGGTTTTAACAAAATAGCATTGATAGGACAAGGGGGAATGGTTTTAAACTGGAAGAGGGGAGATTTAGATTAGATACTAGGAATAAATTCTTTCCTGTGAGGGTGGTGAGTCCCTGGCGCAGGTTGCCCCAAGAAGCTGTGGCTGCCCCATCCCTGGAGGTGTTCAAGGCCAGGTTGGACGGGGCTTGGAGCAACCTGGGCTGGTGGGAGGTGGCCCTGCCCAGGGCAGGGGGTGGAACGAGATGATCTTCAAGGTTCCTTCCAACCCAAACCATTCTATGATTCTATGATAAATGGTTCAATGGTTTCATAGTGCGTCCACTCTCTTGCTCTTTCCAACTATTTTATTTTTGGGAGCAGTTTTGCAACATTTCCCAACAGAGCTTCTAAAAGCAGTGGATTTGGGGATATTTTTAGGGAGGAGCTCCTTTCATTTTCAAACCCAGCTGTAGTTAGTACAAGACCTTCCAGCTGCCTTAGAATGGGTCAGAAAGGGACAAGTTGTATGGGGAAGAGCTTTGCTGATCTCAAGGCATCTGGGGGCTAATTTCCAAGGGAAATTCCAGCTGGCAACTGCTGCAAGAGTCTGGGTCCCTGAGTCCATCAGAACATACAAGTGGGTAGGAAACAAGATTAAAAATGTAGTCCAACGTTATTTAAATCTAGCCAAAATACTGCAGTTCTGCATTCCATAATCAGTTAAATGTATGCACTCTTCATTCGTTGGCATTCGCTTGGAAGCTGAGCAATCACTGCATGCAAATAAACCCTGCACTCCACTTGAAACAATAGTCTGCAAAAGTCATATTCAAACAAGAAAACTGCTACATTAAACAGACCTGCTGTTAGTTATCCCTGACACATATTGTCTGTAACGTACATATAGCAAACACCGCAGATCTCACAGCCACTCTTGACTAAATTAGATTACAATGTTGACGGTTTTGTGAGTTAAAAAAGAACTCAAGGATGCCGTTCAATGGAGACATTAATTTAAATTATTACAGTGCTTTGGTGAAGTCGTGCTCTCTGAAGCTGCTAGGGGAGCCTTCCTTTCCAACGGCAGCTTGGTTCCATGTAACACCTTTAACGGTAGCCTGGAGGAGGCATTCTTGTCAAGTGCACATCAAACCGGGGGGACTAGTCAATGCGCTTTTAATTCCGAGAGATTTGAACAGGCTGGAGGAACAGGCTGACCACGAACTTACAAACTCAACAAGAACGCAGGCAAAGCCTGGCGCCTGGGAAGGCGTGATCCCTTACAGCATCTCAGGCTGGGGCTGGCCAGGGGGGAAACAGCCCTGCTGAGGATGACTTGGTGTCCGGGGGGACGGCAAGCTGAGCCGCAGCTGAGCCAGCCCTGGCAGCAACAACTGGCAGCATCCCAAACTCTATCAACCAGAGAACAGCTCAATGGAAACGCTTACCCTCCTTTATCCAGCCCTCCTTAGACTCACCTGGAACGCTGCCGCCAGCCTGGGGCTCCCCGGCACAGGCAAGCTCAGCGGGAGCAGGTTCAGCAAGCCGGCCAGGGTCCGGAGCGCGCGAGGACCAGCCCTGCACGGCTGCCGATGCCACAGTAGTGCTGGTGATGCAGCATGCTTCAAATCCTTGCATCGAGGCAACAAAAGAGGTAGAGAAAGTGTTAGTTTCCATTAATGCATTCAGGCATCGTTTACCAGAGACAGAACCAGCAGATACAGTCTGTAGTCTAATATTAGAGCTGCCACCTTCATGTCACACACCAGTGTCAGCCGTGCAGATTGATGACAATCCCAGTCTTGCTCTCGTGGCATTTCCCAGCATGGGAACTTCTGACTACGTCCTTAGGGCACATGGATTTTTTTTTCTTTATGGGCAGTTTCTGTCTTGAGTACTTACTTGGGCTAGCTTCTGGAGCAAAGGCAATCACAGGCGAAGAGATCCAGACACGTTTGGAATATTTCTGTTGTTGTGGTTGGACTCATTGAAATTGTGAGCTGCCATCAGTCAAATAAATCAGCGGTTTGGAGAACAGCATAAGCAGGGAAACGAGCAGCTCACGAACAAGGTCCTGGATGTGCAGAGATGAACACTGAGATAGCACCAGAATTTTTAAGCAAATTCCTACCTGAGCAATACAGAAGGAAGCTGGCAGATGATTAGCGGGAGACAAAAAAAAGTACCTTCAAGAACACTGCTGTTGTAAAGGATCAGAAATTTTATCATCTGACCAGCCACATTCCTGAGTTGCCCGAAAAAGGATTGAGCCTAAAGACTGTACATAGGGTGACCGTCTCGATTTTCTGAAACAGAGTCAAAGGCAAAGAATCTATTCCATTGACAAAATCATGAAATTATTAATAACTGCATGCATATAAGTTCAGGACTGAATGATATCAATTAAATTTAATTAACATCTGTGCAATGCTTTGAGGGCATAAAATGTCATGTAACTCTAAAGAATTCTTAGAATTAATCCTATTAATCCTATTTTTAGGATTTATTAATCCTAAACCACTTTTTGCTGCATTAGCACACTGCTAACCATGAATATCTTCATAGGCAAAGTCAGGTGGCACTCCAGAGTTTTAGGCTGATTGGTAATTCTTTTGTATGGAAAAGTAAATTTTTTCCTGAAATCAAGTTCCCCTTGAAACTGGCAGTAATGCGCAAATCAGTATTGATGACATTTAAAAAATAACCATATTCTTTGTATCGCTATCGATTCTAGCAGGACTGACTAAAGAAAGGATATCCATAAATACACCAAAAAAAAGAAGAATTGGATATTAATGTCATCTTTCATCATCGTAGGCACTAATATGGCTGGGAAGTATTGATTACCTTAAAAGCCCCTAATAACTAAAGAACTATTGGCTTAATATTTTCTCTAATCCCCCATGAAATTTTACAGTAAGTCCTGATGTATTTTCTGTTAAGGGTTTTAGGGCTGAACTATATCATGTACTTATCTGAAGTGTCAGCTCTAAGGCTTATACTGCAGTTGATGAGAACTATGTTCAAGGTGAGTAATGACTCTGAAGATTTAAGTATGGTTTCAGGGACTTTGGAAATAGATACATCTCCTAGTCTATATTATTCTACAACTTTTGTCTTTTAAATAATCTTTATAATTAGGGGATAATCTAATATAAATTTATTCAATGCAAACATCGGTCCTGTTCATAATTACTCAACCACAGCTGTTCTGAAAATTCCCTCATCATTGTACAAGTCTCTCAACAGCCTTTTTTATCGCTTCTCATTTTCCTATCACTAACACACTCACAATCTAGTTTTCTAAAACTCCAATGAGTTGTATTTATCGAAGTTAAATAAGGGAAAAATGAAAGAAAACTTACCCAAACATCTGGAGTCTTCAGATCCCATTAAAGTGAGTGGATTATTATTATTGTTGTTGTTGTTATTATTCTTATTAGTGTTGTTGTTGTTTTGCATTTCTAGTTTACTGAAGGGAAGGTTACCTGAAAGGTCCCTTTACATCTTTACTTTTGCTGTGGTTAGTACCAGAGTATTACAGACTCCAGCCGAAGGCATGGACACTGAGCTGAGTTCTATACATTTCAAGCATGTTTACAGCAATACCTTTGAGATATTGCTACCTCCAAGCTAAGGAGGTATTAAGGATTGCTAAGTCCAGAATTACGAGAACATCTCTTGCTTTTTCAAAAAGGTAGAAGACTTTTCAATTTAGAACTAGTTGAAAAAATAGTATAAGAGGAGAAGTGCAATGATCGAGCTCCTTCTAACTCACGTCCTCACACTCGAACAGCCTCACTGGGTTAACTCGCATTTTCCAAGACCTCTTTATAGAGTGACGGTGATGCATAAAGGGATCCAGCAAAGAATAGACTTTTTTTCCCTTTTCCTCCAATAAAACTAAGGACCTCTCTGGATCCCATGAGTTACATCTAGTCCTTAGTGATTGTTTTGGCTCAATGCTATAATCACTTATTATCGAACTATTTTTATTATAGGAGCGGTCTCATTAACGCAAACGGGTCAGCCTGAGCGGGTTATTCACCTGCTTTTTTGCAGGGCCAAGGCCCAGCTCCTCAAAGCCATTTAAGCACCTAAATCCTACTTAAGCCCTGTGTCCCCCCGGGTTTCATCGCCCCTCTGGCGGGGTTGGCATGGTGGAGGCACAGCTCACACTCGCCGCCGCGGCATCGCCTCCGTCGCAGGGTGGGAGTCCACGCACGCACCGTCCCGGCGAGGAGGGGATGCGCTGTGAGCACGCACCCTCCCTCACGCGGAGGTCAGTGTGCTCTATAGCTCTGCCCTTAGCAGAGCAGTCAGAGCACACCACCTAATTATTTTAATGACTGGAAATGAACTGTGAATTTCTTAAGAGCCATTGAAGCAAAATGTTTGCAGTCAATCTACCCACATTAATAACAGACCGTTAGAGATTGCTGATATCTTTAACACGATGAAGCACATCTGCTATATTTCCCTAGTCAATATTAGGCCGAGCGTTAAAATATTGAACCTTGGCTTGCACCCTTCTGAGGAGATAACTGAAAAGGACAAAAAAGGAGTCAAGGACCGGCCTGAGCCCCCTGCTCCTCCTGCGGCAGCTCCCGCAGCGCCGAGCGGCACTGGCAATGCCGGGCAGCTGTGGGATGCTCTGCTGCCGAGGGCCCGGTGTGTGTCCGGTGGTGCACCGTGTCTCCTCCAGACCCATGGTTATTGCTTTATCCCAATTTGGCTATTGCTGCTCTAACTGCGCTGCTCATTGTTGATTGGCTTTTTCTTTGTATATCCAAGGAAATGCAAGTCTGGAATATAATCAGGAGGATGAGACGCTACAGCCCGTGTTTGCCAAATAGTTTAGCGAGTGTGAGCACCTCCATTGAGAGACAGAAGTTGAAGCAGCCTTAACAGACAATTTTCAGGCAGTTCTGAGCAGCCACGTAGAAAGAAATCACCTAAAATCATGATTCGTTTTTAAAAATGCTGCCCGAGCTTGAGTCCCTTTAAAAATAAAAATGTCATTATTAATTCAGGGAAGTTTTCATTCAGTCACAACCGCTGGCATGCACGTTTGGGACACGCAAAGGCGTAACAGCGTTTTGCCCTGTGTTTGGGTGTCAGAGCTGTCTCCGGCGTGCCCCGGCAGAGCCGTCCCCGAGCCGGGGACATTGCGCAGTGCCCCGAGCGCGGGGGCAGAGCCCTCCACTGCCACCAACCGCACTCCCTCCTTGCGGAAGAAGCATAACGCATATCAGATTGCAAATGGAGCAGAGATTAAACACAGCTTTTAATGGCTCTGCAAACACATTTGAGAAAAACACCAGAGCATAAACTCATTATTCACCACCAAATAAACTCCTTTTTTTTTTTTTTTTTTTCCCCCCAATATGGTCTGCTTGCGTTCAGCTACAACACTGCCTCTGAGGGTATCTTCCCACAACTCAGGCAGTATTGTAGTTCCTTAGTTTATCACCATATACGCATTTTTGCTGTTGGACATCAAATGGACCAGAAGGTTTGTCACAGTGCATTCGGAGTGCTGCTCCTGACCGCGGGTGATACCAACCGCAGAAGCCCTCCAGCTCGAAGAGTGGAGTCCACACGCCGCAGCCCGGCTCTAGGTCAGTAATTAGCAAAGCGTTCAAGGGATTGACTCTTTTTTCTTCTCTGCTCCAGAAATCCTTGGAGGACATCATGTTCCTCAAAGGCACTAGTTATTGGAAAGGATTTAGTACATCTCCTCTCCAAGGCTCTGCCCGCTGGGAAGGCCACAGATGCTCAAATTTCAGACTGATGTGTGATCAGTTTGATAAGGTACACAGCAGCCTTTCTCCTCCCTGATTAGACGTCTGCTCAAACCCTTCTGGAGAGAATATTCAAAATGAAAAATCAGGAAAAATGACATTTCTTCGATGCTAATAATTTTTTTACAGGTCATCTACCGGCACTCAGTGCTCTCCCACAGAGCCACAGCAGTCGTGTGGGACCACGTCCCCCCGGGAGCACAGAGCCCTCTACAATTACACCAGCAGGAAAATTCACACATGTGCTGACCCCCTAGTAAAAACTGCCAGTTTTAAAAAAGAGCCAGTTTTAATGAGAAAGCATTGGTGAGAAAACCTCTGTGCATCTACACTGCCCTTCTCTGTGCCCTCCTATGGCTGGGCTGCAGCGGCTCTGTTACGACATGGGGATCGGAGCTGTGCCCCTACAGTCACGCTCTCTGAATTTTTAAATACTGAATAATTTAACATCTTAGTTTGGTTATTGAAATAGTATTGTTTTGCTCGCGTCATGCTATTTAAGTTTAGCTTGGCCCGCTGTGCAGGCACACGGCTGATGCCAGCCTGCCTCCGACCACTGTTCCAGTGTCCCGGCTCCCCTAACCAGTCTCTTTAATGGAAATAATCATTGCTATAGCCACCGCTACATCCACTGCACCCTCCGGGCTGCTGCGTGTCCAACCGACCCCTGCAACGCCTTTGCTTAGGCAGCCAAAAATCCCAAGGTTTGGTACAGGAGCGCAATACTTTCTCCTTTAAGTAACGCCGCGTGTGGGCCAGGGAGCGCCGGCGCATTCCCTGGCTGTGCCCATCACTCACAGAGCATCGCTTCTCCGGTGCTGATAAACCAAAGAA